TTTTCGTTTAATATAACATAATATATTATTCCTACATATAATCCGCATGCCATCCCTTTCGGCAACCGATATTGTGCGGATACTATCCGGGTACTATATTTTGATGCCTGCGTCGTCAGTTCGTGACAAGTCGAATGAGCCCCGAACTGAAGTGAAAGTGGAAAAAAACGAAGGAAGCAGTTTTCGAGTCATTCATTGCGTCAATTGGAACAAGTCTTTGCTTCATATGAAATGAACTAAATCACTTGATGAACGAAACAAGTGATAGTCCAGTCATGTTTGAAAAGAGGAATGTTCATCGTGACTCGATAACAAGAAATACGATGGCTTACATGAAAATTATATTGCTTGAAATGAAGTGATTCTGCGGAGAGTTCATTTTCTTTTCTTTGTTTCGAAAGTGCAGAACCCTGGTCATGGGCACTGTTTGGCACCCATGGTTACAATTTTTCTAATCATTAAAGCTACTGGCAACACTGAACTTTTTCTGCGCCTGCCCAGAATCTTCACCAAGTCTCGTCGTTGCTTTTGCTTTCCTTCTAAGGACATGGACTTCATCTTACATTGGTTCATCGTAACATGCCCATGTTTTCGGTGTTCTCGTTGTTCCAAGCACCGTTCACCGTCTTGGATGAGGAGAAGCACAGCTTCATAATGAACGGGAATTTTGTGCCTTTGTGATCGATCGCACTGTGGTTGCACTTCATGAAGGCGTTTACCGCCAGGGCTACGCTCGGGAACTGAACCAATCCGGAGGACGAACGTTCCTATTTCAGCGGGAACATTCACACTTGCAACGGGTGGCAGTCCTTGGTGGTGAATGCAGTCAGCAGCAGATCCTCGGACATACCAAGTGGGGTATTGGCGACTCTGTAGCTCTTTACTCCTATGAGAAAATCCGTAAGCAAACGTCAAACTGTGCGTGAAACATGGCGGACTTTGTACTATCCTTTCACTCCACCGAAAATGCCCATAAGAAACTGTCTATATTTGCTGGAAGAGAAAATTTTTCGACGGATCCGTCAACGCCAATTGAAGAAGTGCAGAATCTTGCTCGGGAGAGGAAGTGATTGTTCTTGATGGCACTGTAGTCCTTGACTCTCCTGGTGGACTCTGACAAGTAGTTCTGCTTGGAAAATGCAATCTGAATTTTGCTACCGGCAGAACAGATTGAACAGGTTATCGATGATGACTGTGTTGTTATCGAGTCCGTAGACCATAATCACTGCGCCCTGTTGCTGTGCCGGTTGAATGAAGTTGGCTAGTCCGTTTCGGGTCAGTGGTGCTTCCTTCATCAGTCCGAAGAGTGTTTCGGCCGGTGTAGGCTTCCATTTTTCCGATGGATAAAAATCAGGCGATGAGAAATTCGATGCAAATCCGTTTCCTCCGTCGGCTCCCAGGAGGGCTAGTTTAGGACCATGGTTGACTAATTATTGAAAGTTGTTGTACGGGGTGGGCCTTCTGCCGAAGATGGTAGGATCGTGTAGCAACGGGGCTCTTCCTTTGCAGGCATCCTTGGAAAGGGCTGCTTCCAATGTGTAGTCCCAAATGGAGTCCGTGTCGTTTTTGTAAACATTGAGTTTTTCTGACTTGGCATAGTCGATCTTCAGTGTGGAGTAGATGTCACAGCCGTTCAATGCATCGCAGGCTCTGGTGGTGGATTCAATGCTGTCAAACTCAACCATAGCTTGGACTCCATTCTTCTTGTCCGTTGGGTGAGCAGATGGTGTGTAGAACGTCCACTCTAATAGGACAGACTGGATTAATAATGGTGAACAGCAATATATTTATGGTTGGGCCGGGTTGCAATCTCGCGCTTTCACCGAGGCTCATCTGTTACGGTGATGTTGTTGTTGTTCCGGCTATTGAGCGGAACCGTCTCGATCATCTCCTGGCCGGTACAAAGGCGCTTGTTGTGCGGCCTGGCCTGGCCTCCGCCAGCAACGTTTCCGTTGAACGCCATGTTCACTGAAATTGTGCTTTGTTTACTAGCCAACACGGGCAAGCATAGAGGAGGGAAGGGTTGTGAAAATGTCGCGACACCTCACGATGCTTTATTTATCACCGCTGTTGAAAAACCTGGAACTTTTCCTCACTCGACGTAGCATAGGTACTAGGTGAAACTCCACCCGCAAGGTCCGTATCTCGGTACGGAAATGTTCTTCCTACTCTGACCCGAGAGTTTTGAAAAAAAAACAAAAGTAGAATGGTCTGTGCCTAGGGGCACGAACGAAGGGCTTGACGTAGGACCGCTAGTGGACGGAATAAATATATTGATCATTAAGTTCTTAACTCTTTCCGTGCGATGCGTGCTGTACCACTCATACGTCGTGTCCGACGCTTATCCGTCCGTTGCTCGAAAGCAAATAACGAAGAAAACTACTAAAACCCCTAAAATTTTTGTTTATTTACTTATAGTCTTGTGGTTTACAATTATTGTACATTTCATTTGATTTAGCCCGAAAGCTCTTCATCTTTAGTGATTATGTCGGTAACAAGTTACGGTTCGACTTTAGTTTTACATTATAAGAGTTTAAGGAAAGCATATTTGCTGATTTTAATTGGAAAATTTGATATTCTACCTACTTAACCTAGTTGCCTAACCTAACGTGCCAGAACCCTAATGATCTGTTGATCGGATCGCATGCAGCAATCTCTGAACCTTTTGATGGTAGCAGTTCTCCGTAACGCCAAGGTCTGAAGACCAGCCAGGTGGTGGACCTCAGAATTTCTAGTACGCGGTGGACTGTAGAGGATCATCCTCAGGATCTTTTTCTGGATCCTTTGTAGTTTGAGGTGATGAGAATGTGCACAACTCTCCCAGACTGGCAACCCGTACTCTATGACGAGAAGGATTATTTGCTTGTAGACAGCAATGACGAATAAAACGATTTGGCAAACGTTTTTAATAATCGCTGCTTTTCTCCTCCCTTCCTTTCATTGGTGAAATGGTGAGCTGTCAACCGAGCATTGAGCTCGCTCATGTGAGCAGGCGCAATGTGTCATTTGTTCGATTTGCGCTCTATCGTTGCGTCCGTGTTTGGGATTATTCGTTACATGTCTGAATTTTGATTTTTTTTATTGTGACCTACGTCAAAACAAAAACAAGCGCTGGTAAAACTCGTCGGTGGTTAAAATACTGGGTTGCCAAACAAGGAATTATTCACAAGCAAACAAAAGTCAGTTCAATGACTTCTCGGTACTGCTGGAACAGTTGCGGCACACTGAGGCACAATGAGAAAAAAGTTGGCGCAAAATAAGTGTGAAGAGTGACCACCCCTTGAGTTACGTAGTTGAATGATAAGGAGTGAAAAAGAAGCAAGATTGCACATGCCGATCCTTTGTAGATCGAGGTACATCTTCGATAGGAAGAGGTTTCTATTTTTTTTTCAAAAAAATTTGAATTATAAAAAATATATTTTTTTAGAGACGCCCTAAGTCAATTAAGGAAAATAGCTGTAAATAGACCAATTCAAGAGATATAAAACAGATTTGAAATGTAAAGTTGCTTGAAGTTAGCTGAGCTTCTACTTTGCCCAAGAATGTACTCCTTTATTTCTAAAACCGATTTTTTTTTATGATTTCAATGATAATAAGAACTGCCCTAGTATCCATTTTCACCAAAATGAGGGCCAAACTGCAAGGAGCAACTTTGTAGAAGTCAATTTATTTTCAAAGGTTTCAATTTCAGACTCTAAATGCATCAGTAAATTTCCATTCTGGACCACTATGCAGTAATTTAAAAAGACTAAGACCCAACATAAATAAAATCCTTTTTTAGAAGTTTAAAAGAAAAAAGCTCATCATACGGCTCCTTGGTTAAGGTTGAGAGTTAAGAAACGTCTCTTCAAACTGCTTGCATGATATGGTACATTAGAGCAGTTCCAGGCCAAACAGCAAAAGACACTATTTTTTTGACTCGGCCTTTTCCAATTTCCATGAATCTTTGCATAGTTGTTTGCTATCGGCAACAATTCACATTTTTTTTCAAATATTCGCCCATTTTTGATTTTGCTTATTTTTTTCAAAATGGCCTTTAACATTTTTCAATAAATTGTAGCCCAAAAACGCTAGAAAATTTCCAAGGTAGCTGAATTTTAGAACAATATATGATTGATTGCCCATAACATTCAATCATGCAAATTGGAGAAGGTCGAGTCTGATCGATTCGTCATTAGGCGTGGAACACCTCATTTTACTAAAATTTTAATAAAATCAGAGCTTTAGTCGAAAAGTATGCTTATTTCACGTCGCGTTGACGTGTTATGAAGTATTTTGTTTCTGTTATTTTTAAGTGCATAACAATTGATAGGAAAACAATGGAAATTATGTTAATTTTCTATTAGTACTTTATTTTGAGGTTTATTAGTATTATTTCAAACGAAATGAGTAATTAAGGGCCAACAATCTACGTGACTCGACAACAAGAATGGATCAAATTAACACAGGATTGCAAGCAATCAAATCAAATTAAAGTGTAGGAACTCAACGATGAGTAAATTTGCCTCATGTTTTCCAAGTTTTTTCAGCTTTGTCCAGGAAAAAAAAATCCCGAAAATGAGAATTGCAAGTATTGGATTCACTCTGTCTATTGGTACTACTCCTAGACGGGGTAAAATTTTCGTAAATTTTTCTCATTTTCCGGCAGATTGAGGTTTTCCACAGGAAAGCATGAGGCAAATATATTCTTCGCTGAGCTCCTGCACTTTTGGCAATTATGAGTAAACTAAACTCAAATTTAAGTCGTTTTCATTCGCCGTGTGTATAATTTTGATTTGATTGCTTGCAATCCTATGTTACTCAGCTTCAACACAAAATAAATTTATTCCATAGCCTCATAGCAAAACTAGAAATAAAGCTCACTCAATTGCCACGCGTCTGAAACGGATATCCTGCTCCCCCTCTTCACGTACCGCTAAAGTTTCTCAAGTTCCACGAGCCCCGAATAAACCGAAAATCTCTCTCTGTATCTCCTCCGCATGCCGCCGTGTCATCTGCAGAAATCCCGAGGGTAAACCACCCCGCTTTCCACAGAAGCCCACCATTTCCCAGAAGGGCGAGGTGCTCTCGATGGAGTGCATCCTGGAGGCTCTGCCGGTGGCCGACATTACCTGGTTCCACGGCCAGGACTCGATCACCGACGGCGAACGGTTCAAAATATTGCGCAAAGCGATCTCAAGCGATACCTACCTACTGACACTCCAGATTTCGCAACCGAGCGCCAACGATGGGGGCATCTATCGGTGCCACGCTTTCAACCCGTTCGGGGAAAGCAACGCACACATTACGCTTAACTTTAAAGGTATTGACATTAGTCCTGACAGGAGAGAGAGAAAGAGAAAACGAAAACCCGATTAAGCTGCTTCCAGTTGCTGTATTGCTGTAACTGTCTGTTTTTCACGTGATTAGAAAGCAAATAAGAAAGCAAATGTTATTACGATAGCAAACATTCGACGGACCTTCTCCGAGGGTCCTTTGTAGTCCTTTTCCTCATCAATCACTTTCTGTTTTTTTTAATCGCGCTCGTTTATATCGATACATAGTCCTTTGGTTCAAATTCTAGATTCTATATTAACCTGCTGATTTCCGGAGCTTCCAATTTCAGCATCTTCATCACTTCTTCTTTTGTTTTTGTTGGTTTTAAGTAGCTTCTATTAACGAGCAATGGCCCCAAAAGCAGACGAGCTTCGCACTAAAAGTTGACTTCCTTTCATGTAGGCCCTTGGGCATTCGGAGAGTATGTAGCGTGAACTGCAGTTCAACATTCAGCCAACTGAATAGCTTAGTGTGGTTCGGAGTTTGTTCTGATTGCAATACTGATTCGTATTTCCTACTCCGTCTAGCGAACGAAAACGATCGAGGCTTTGCTCCGTCGTTTGTGGAGAAACCGAAGATCATCCCGAACAAGCTGGGCACGCTGATAACGATGAAGTGTAGATGTAGATCGAAACCGAAACCGACCGTCAAGTGGATGCGCAAGAAACAGGAGGTCAAATCGTCCAACAAGGTGGCCCTGGAGGTGAAGACCGTCGACGAGGACACCTACGAGCTGACGCTGAACATTAAGGATCCCAGCTCCGAGGATGGCGGCAGCTATTCCTGTGTCATCAGTAACGAGTTCGGCGAGAGCAGTGCGACGTTGAACTTGAATATTGAGTCCGAGCAGGAATCGACGAAGAATGCACCAGTCTTCGTCGAAAAGCCGCACATCGTGTCGCAGGACAACGGCAAAGTGGTCCGCATGGAGTGCAAAGTCAAGACCGACATCAAACCGGACATCACGTGGACTCGCGATGGCAAAATTATACAGGAATCCAGCAAGCTCAAGATAACGATGACGTCCGAGAAGGATGTGTACCACATATCTCTGGTTCTGAGGGATCCACAGACGGATGACTCCGGCACGTACAAGTGTAACATCAAGAATATTCTCGGTGAATTAAATGCCAATTTAATTCTTAACATTGAGAGTAAGTATATTGCGCTTCCATCTGGGTCTGGCTTGTGTTTTAATCCCGAATTCCCCATTTCCCGCAGTTGTTCCGGTCATCAAGGAGAAACCGAAACTGGTAACAAACATCAAGAAGCGAACGGCGTCGATCGAGTGTGCGGTCGCGTCCCGCTTCAAGCCGGAGTGCATTTGGATGAAGGAGACGACGGTGATCAAGGAGACTCACCGTCATTTGATCAAGATCGAGGAGACTCGCGAGGGCGAGTTCTCCGTCAAGCTCAACATTACCGAGCTGAGCGAGGCCGACTTTGGCGCGTACAAACTCGTGGCCAAGAACGACAAGGGTCAGGCGACCTCGCAGGTGATCGAGATCAAGGACATCGTGTTCGAGAAGCCACCGCCGACCAAGCCGATCATCGAAACCAAGCTCAAGGACGTGGAGCTGGACGAGGGTGGCAACCTGACGCTGGCCGTGGGCTTGCTCCATCCGGACCGCCACTTCAAGGTGTACTGGATGAAGAACAAGACGATCCTGAAGACCAGCGAAACCGTCATTCAGGAGTTCACCGGCCGTATGGCTAAGCTGACGGTCAAGAACTGCACCGTGGAGGATGCCGGCTCGTACAAGGTATCCATCAGCAACGAACTCCAGAGTGACGAGTCTGAGGCTAAGGTTACCGTCAAGGCGAAACCGAAGGAAGAGGAGAAGAAGAAGAAGGTTGTGAAGAAGGAGGAGAAGGTCGAGGAGAAGAAGGTCGAGGAGAAGAAGGTCGAAGAGAAGAAGGTTGAAATCAAGGTGGAAGAGAAGAAGGTCGAGGAGAAGAAGGTTGAAGTTAAGGTGGAAGAGAAGAAGGCTGAGGTGAAGGTCGAAGCCAAGAAGGTTGAGGTTAAGGCGGAGGAGAAGAAGGCTGAAGTCAAGGTCGAAGCGAAGAAGGTGGAAGAGAAGAAGGAAGCTAAGAAGAAGGTCGTGACCAAGAAGGAGGAGAAGATCGAGATCAAGGTCGAAGAGGCGAAGAAGGAAGAGAAGATCGAAATCAAGATCGAGGAGGCCAAGAAGCCGGAAGTGCCGAAGATCATGGAAACCAAAGAGGTGAGTCAACGGGGTGTTTATTCTTTTCTCATTAATCAACATTGTTGTATTTCTTGTTTCAACAGCCTGAAACTAAGAAGGGTCTGGAAGCTCCCAGCATCGAAATCGTTCGCGACAAAGCTGGCGGCAGTCGACGTGGTTCATTCTTGGACGATCGTCGGCCAAGCTTGTTGATGGGTGATGATGTGAGTATGCGCCGTCAAGTTAATCCACTATATGTCTGTTCTGCCTTCCCAGCAGGTCAAATGTGTATTGATCTATGTTTACGGTTCAATAATTACGACATTCGAAAGGAGATCTCCAAAATGCGAAAATATTCTCTTCTGAATCATTCACTCAAACGCCAACTTGTCTCGATGTGAAAATGGATGACGGTTCCGTCGCCCGGAACCGTCATTCCCTTGACGTTATCTAACCCTTTTGTTTCTTGTTTCTCACATACACATACGCACACACACACATACAAACACACAAACACTGTGGGTGCTCAATTCCTGTTGTGAATTCTCGCGCTGCCGTAATTGGGTGACGACGGTGTAGACCAAACTACGACCCGGCGAAGTTATCGACGAACGAAAGGTGAATATCTGGTGTACGATCGCACGATCGTGCTCGGCGGAAGCTGGCTAGAGGATGGCACCGACTGTGTTGGTGCTCTGCGTCGAGGCCAGATTATTCACCCAAATGCTAACGTTTATACACGCACATATACAAATACACGGTAGCGGTCGGTGGGCTGAAGTTTCAGGAAGGTAGTCCGCTGAAGTTGAAAATATTCTGCTTTGTTCGCAGTTTGGTGAACTGGGCTGGAAATGGAAAGGAAAGAACAGAGATTTTTAAAAATCCGGCTTTGCTGGTGTGTAGAGAAAATTCTTGCAAATGATAGGCAAATGTCTTATGATTTTGTGGTACGGTTTGTACCATAAAAAATATGCAACAATCTTCATACATCTATAAGCGAATTGCAGAATCTTCCGAGAAAGAAATAAAGGTGATTCCGGAGGAGAATGCAAAAGTTCCGGAGAATTTTCAACAATATAATGAAGTTATCCAACGAGTCACCTTTAAACAGGATTGCAAATCTTATGTTGGAAAGTACATTCGCTAAAGTATCAAGTGAAGGCTGAAGAGTGTAGAAGGGATTTTTTTACTATCGGGCAGGTTTGGGTTAAAGCGAAGACTACAAATCAAGAAGACTGGCAACTCTTCCAAAAATCAGGAGACAGTAACGGCAATGCCTCTTCTGAGCTAAAGTGGAGCCTGTGTATGATGGTGTGTGCTAATTCACGAGTGCATTGACACACATAGGTAGAAGTGAATAGTTATCAATTATTGGTTTTGTTATGATTGTCGTAAAAAATGAAACGTTCCTCTTTTTTGCTTTATGCTGACAACGAGTAAAATTGCAGCTAAAACTAAGCAGATGCGTAAGTAAATTTGATTTGAAAATTAAAACTATAGCAATGATGCCATTCACAATGATGGTCGGGCCTTTCTCGAACATTAATTTGCTATCTCAGAATTATCTTCCACTTTTCCTAAGCCCTTTAGTGATGCATTTATGGGCATTCGTATGGCTTTGGCACCTAACCACAGTGGTGGAAGTTAAGTTGTGACGCTCGGCAACTTGGCACAGTATTCGCTGACCATTTGAATGTCACTGCCCAATCCGACACTGTTGTTATCATTCTCTGGAAGGGGTCGGTCGATTCCAAGAATTGTTAAAGCATACAGAGGATCACTATCCGGTGGTTTCATGTTCTGACAACATCTTAAATGGAAATATATTCTTTATCAATACGAACCGTTTGGGATTGCAGTCCTTCGACCTTTCATTTTCTCCAACATTAGATCTTACTACACCTTCCGTTCAATCGTGATGTGGGTATCGGATCTTTCTTATTTTTGAATCCTTGAATTTTCAGCAGCACCAGAATGACGGTAGTTACTTCAATGGTGATGGAAGCTGCCAATTCCTTATAATTGATTGCTTCCAACAGGCAAAATAAACAATATTTCGGTTCCTCGTTCACAAGTAAAAGCTACTTTCACTAGGTATCTATCCGAGTTTAAATCATCTACTTGATCCACGATAACAAGTTTTTCGGTTTGGAGTTGGAAAACCACCTGGGATTAGGATACAAATTGCCGTTAAATTTTGTAGAGCAAAACAAAAACGAGTACCGTGTTATGATTATTCGTTTCGGTGACATTAGCTCACACACACACACACACACAGTCACTGTTTATTAGCAGTCTTACTAACACTTGTGCTTCAAAGTTCCACCAGTTCAGTGCCAACATTTCAAAGGGGCGTAATTGCTTTTGTAAACAACGACTTTAGCCGTCAATTTTTCGCGAATGAAATCTCACCTCTCCAAAATTACAATGCTAGCTGGTAGAGGAAACATTCCTCTACCTGCTGGTATCATTATTTTTCATGAGTGAGCTTTTATTCGTGAGAAATCGACGGCTAAAGCGATTGTTTACAAATGCAATTGCACCCCTTTGAAATGTTGGCACTGAGTTGATTGTCAGAGGCGCTGTTATCAGTGACTTTTAACATTTGTATGGGAGACGGGAACAGTTGCCAGTATTCTTGATTTGCACTACAAATATTTTCTGAATTCCAATGAATATGGATTACATTTTGCCATGTAAGTATCATGAATTGAAACCGTAATTATTAATAATATTATAGAAATCAGTCACGCCATTATCGGAATTCTGTCCACAATCTCCTGTACACTGTACCCAACCATCTTCCTCTGTTCGAATGAAACCTCAGACCATTCAAATCGAAACATCGAAATCGCCTTTTCGAATGATAGCTGCACCCGGATGACGGTTGTTTTGAAATCAGAAGATTTTCCTCTCGAATACAGGATGAACATTGTTATGAAAAGGAATAGGGCCTTCAGTTGGAATGTGTAATGCTCTCTGCAGAATGGTAGTCATCTTAAATTGACATTAATTTGGTATTGGCTCAGCCCCTTAACACAAATCATTTAAAACGATGATGTAAATAATTCTATCGAACGTCGTTTGTTGCTCTGAGCAGACGTAAATTGTCTATTTCGTGGTGGAGGAGGTTTCCTCTTCCAACCAATAAGGAATTTTTGAATCCATGATGAATGGCTGTTCATGGCTATTCAATATAGAAATGGAAACAATCGAATTAATAATTTAATCTTAAGCATTTCCAAGTCATCCTATCCTTAAATTGTTGTCCTCTGAGCACTGTATGTTTTACAGCCAATTTTCAAATAAATGTCATCCTTTATTTGGAAGACAGTCATATGGATGCTGATCAGTTGATGACGAATTCAACCATAAGTAAATCATCCAAAATTCGACAACATATTGTTAAAGGGCTCGAGCAATATCAGTTGAAGGACGCGTTGTTGCGGATGTTTTCGTTCAGTGTATGTTTACAAATTAGGAGCTGTCAGTGGGTTCACAATTCTAGATAAAGCTGAAATTAGGGCCTTGCTTTTGTAAAGCTTTTGTAAACAATGAATTCTCCCCATTATTTCTAGAAATTCAATGTGCGCCCACGCAAACCAACATAATTATCGGATATGAGAAGACATCCCCTGCGTGATGGTGATATTGATTTGCTTGAGCGAGCCTTTGATTTTCTAGAAATCATCGAGAGAAATCATTGGTTACAAGAGCTGTTACGCCCTAATTCCAGCTCTATCTAGAATTAATCAGCTCTCAATGGGCAAGTTGAAAGAGAAACGGGTGCTACCTACCAGGATATGAGCAGTTCCACGCGAAATAGACAAACGACCAGATATGAGAAACGTATCTCAAAAACTGTTGCTTGTACCGAAATGGAATATGACAACATAGGGAAAATGGATGTAATGTCGGCCTAAATGCCCCCTTGTCGATTGCTGAATTTATGTAAGGGCCAAATTACATAAATTCAGTAATCGACTACATTTTCAATAGTGACCAAAAATATCCATTAGTACCGTCCCAATGACGCGTTCATCTAGATAAAATTGACAAATGTATTATAACGATCCATAGGCCAACATTAGAGCCAATTCCCCTATGTTTCATTGCCAGTTCTGGTAACAAGACTTTATTAAAAAAAAATGTCGCTATAAAATCGTATGGGAGAAACATTTTGTGACATTTTTTCGTCTTAAAATGCCTACGACATTGATTACCTCTAGTCATAGCTTTGCGTGGAACTAAATTTGATGATGAATGAATAAAAGGGCCATTTAACGTCGGCCCAATAAGGAAACCTCTCGGGCCAAAAACTGGATTATTGCCCTAATGGAAGACTTTCAAAATATTTTTTTCTTAGAAGAGTGACTTCTCATATTTTTTGAAAATTGCTAAAATTTAACTTATTTGATTACAGAATTTCAAAGCAGTTCGATTAAATAAAAGTTACAAGGGACAACCCTATGGGGTTAGTTTTCATTGCTGCAGGGGTGATCATCGATTTCCTCTTTTAATGACCATGGCTTCATTAACCTATTTTGCACTATTTCTGCTATGCTCTTCCATCATTCAGATCAACAAACACACCAATGAATGTGTTTGCCGACGAGTTATTAATGAAACAGAAAGTCGATGAAGAGAATCGATCAAAATCACTTGCACCATGCTTCCAAGTTTGGTTACAACATTACAACTCTGGAGAGCATTTTGTGTGGCATTTTGTGGTTCTGAATATGGAAATGAGTGTGCAAAATGCTACGCAACTGCATCCTCCCTATTCCCACACGCCCGAAGATTGGAGGCGAATGCCACTTCGACTTGTTTCGTCTACTAACGACTCTCTGATGACAGTTTTGGGAAAGCAGCATATGCATGTACGTATTTGGTGGATTTGTTAGTTGTTCCGATTTTTTTGGACAATGCTTGAAATTTACCACTTTTTCAAAAACTCCTTGTTAAAATTAAAAGTCGAAAGCATCGCTATCAATGCGTAAGAATATTTCTGATCGATTGGTGATAAAATTATTCAAATTGTTCCAGGGGCCGCTGAGTTATTAGAGTGCAAAATCTTTCATAATTTCGTTACATGTTCCATTTTCGGTTTTCACAAAGTATACCTCCATATAGAAATCACAGATGTAGTCCTACGTTACAAAACAGCAATATCTAAAAGATAATCGAGAGATCTTCATAGAAATGTAGAAACTTTTCGATAACTTCATGATATTCAGCGAAGTCTCGAGTTTATCTAGGACGATCAGGTAGCTGCAGAGCAATCCCATTACATTAAGGAAACTTACAGAGGCTTACAAAAAGTAGCGTGGAATTACGGGATATTCCGAGAACTCTAAGAATGATTCGAAAACTTCATATACATCCGTGAATTATGAATACTCAGAGAACCTTAGAGAAGCAATTAAATCTTCAAGGATTTCCAAAAAAGTTCAGGGAAAATTTGTGATTTAAGGCAAAGTTTGTGAGCCGCCTAGGAAGTTTACAAATCTTTAGAAAAATTATTAAAAAATAAAGGTAAAATCTGACAAAAAGTAAATTGGCACGCACAAAAAGACCTGTAATTCGTGATTCAATAAGTTTGGAAAGTCCATTAATGG